GGTTCTCCCCAGCAGAGCATTCTCTAGTCTGGATCCCTGGCTTCACTCATTAGAGAGGAAGCAGCAGTTCCCAGATAGGAGACTGAGAGCAACAGAATGGGAAGGGACCCCACTTAATACAGCTCTCTGCTGCCAACTATCAAGTTTATTTTAATAATTTAAAGAGAGTAGGAGTTCGGATTCTGACTTCAAGCCAACCCACAGCTGCCTGTCTTCTGCTGATGCACAACCAAAACCTCTGGACAAAAAGGCAAGGACCCGAGGACCCTGGAGAGCGGCACTCACAGGTGAGACTGAGAGAAGCCCCATCTCCTGGTCAGAGGCCCTGGGAAAGGGGGCCCTGAAGCTGGGAAGTGTAGGGGTGAAGAGCGGGAGGAACTGGAGACGGGGAGTCTGCGATACTGGGCGTGACTCCTGCTCACACGGACCGACGCTAAGCAGTACAACAAAGGCTCCAGTAAGACTGACAGCTCAGACCAAGCTTCAGGCGGGCGGCGCATGCAAGACAGAGTCAGAGAAAACTGAACTGACACCCACCCAAGGCAAGATACAAGTTGCAGTCTCAGCCTAACCAGGGGGACTGCCTGTTTAAAACAAACACAGAACTTAGCATCCTCCAGAGGATTATGCAACAGGACACAAAGCAGACACAAAATGTCCAGGACACATCCCCCATTACTTAATACTCCTCCCACCCCGAAAGCCCCAGGAAAATGTGACCCATTCTCCAGGCAAAAAACAATGTCAACCCTAAAATAACTCGTGACTTTAAAGCAGCTATTGGAACTATATTCCAGAAGGTAAAGGCACAGTGGTAAGAAAGGATGAGATTAGGAGCAGAGAAATAGAAACAATGGAAATTTTGAACCAAAGAGTATAAAATTCAGAAATAAAAAATTCACTAGATGGGCTCAATAGTACAATGGAGAGGACAGAGGAAATAGTTAGTGGATTCAAAGTTAAATCGATAGATATTTGCAACCTGAAGAATGTAAGGCTTAGGAAAGAAAATGAATAGAGTTTCAGGTATCTGTGAGGTAAACGATCTGTCCTTCACATCACTGAAGTCCCAGGGGAGAGGGGAAACGGATCAGTGTGGAAAAAAATATTTGAAGAAATAATGGCAAAAAACTTCCCAAATTTGATAGAAGACATAAATTTACAGATTCTGAATGTTCAGTGAACCCCAGACAAAGGTAAAACTAAAAAAAAAATCCAAAACTCACAGTGGTCTATTTCTTGCAGACTTTATCTTGGTAACCCAATCAAGTTTCTCACAACTGTTCTAATTTCTAAGTTATGGATTTATTTTTGCCTTCACTGAACAAATACAAACTTTTATTTAATTGAAAACACCATTCAATGTAAGAAGCACCATCACTTTATGTAATATTTTAACATGCTGCCAATTATTTGTAAGATGTTATAAAAGACACATCCTGATTTTATAGATGTGAAAATGTAAAAAAACAAAAATCAGTGCATCTTAGAATAAATGCAAAATATACAGAGTTAAAGGCTTCCCTGTTAGCACAGTTGATAAAGAATCTGCCTGCAATGTAGGAAAACCCGGTTTGATTCCTGGGTCAGGAAGACCCGCTGGAGAAGGGACAGGCTACCCACTCCAGTATTCTTGGGCTTCCCTTGTGACTCAGCCGGAAAAAGAATCCACCTGCAATGAGGGAGACTTGGGTTCGATCCCTGGGTTGGGAGGATCCCCTGAAGAAGGGAAAGGCTACCCACTCCAGTATTCTGGCCTGGAGAATTCCATGGATGGGGTCGAAAAGAGGGACCTGACTGAGCAACTTTCACTCACTTCACATACAGAGTTAAGCGCTCTCTGAGCACAAGAGAGACACCGTGGTAAGACACAAGCTTGAGTCCTAACACTGGATGCACACTCCACCCCTCCTCCTCGAACGTTGCTTAACCACGCTTTCTTCTTGGCTTAGCAGCAAAACACAAAATACACATTTATAAAACCCTCACTGATCTACGGTATTAAAACTCTTGTGCACAGCACCACCCATAAAAGCCCATGTATCACCCTTCCCTCCCAACGAGGGCAAGGTACAATCCAACAGTCAGTAAGTCAGTCCCCACACCCTGATCATTTTATAATCCTTTATCAGACTCAACTTAACTTCTAGTGACAAGCTAGGTGAACTACTTCTTCATTTTTAATTTCAGCCTATACCACGCCACCTCCCGTCACCCCACAACACAACTCCTTATAAAATTCCACCCATGTTTACAAAGCTACTCAAGCTGATTTCCTTACTTTAACGAAACTTTATTTTTGTTTTAACCTTGGACCGTTTTATGTACCTTCAGAGTCTATTTCATCCTCAAACTATTTATAAAGTACCAAGAGAATGCAATAGAAATTTAGTTTTTAAAATAAAAAAGGTCCCAAGGTTTTTAAACTGCATGTGTCACTAAGTGATAGCCACACAGCTCTCTCCGCAGTGTTTGCCCCTTACTCTCACTTCTGAAATAAAACATAAGCTGTACAACCTGGGTGGGTATCTCTAATGAGATCCTACTCATAGTTATTAAATACTGAGCCTTTGGGAGAATCCCAAACGACAGGACTCTATATACTTATACAAGTACAGAGTTCATATTCTTTCCTTTTTGAAAGTGAAAGTCACTCAGTCATATCAGACTCTTTGGGACCCCACGGACTATACAGTCCATGGAATTCTCAGGCCAGAATACTGAAGTGGGTAGCCTTTCCCTTCTCCAGGGGATCTTCCCAACCCAGGGATGGAATCAGGTCTCCCGCATTGCAGGCGGATTCTTTACCAGCAGAGCCACAAGAGAAGCCCTTCCTTTTTACAGATGCGTAATATTTTAAGCCCTGTGTTTCAAATTCATGTTGCTAACACTGTAAATGTGATTCATAAAGAACAATCCTACATACAGTGGTGACCCTCTGAGGTAACAGCAGTGGTCAAACTAGTGGCACACAGATCTAGAATTGGCCCTGATGAAATGCCATTTTGGACAGCCCCGTCCCCAACTCCAAGTCCCGAGTCCATTCTTTTCATCCATAAAGACAAAAGAAAAGCGAAAGTGTTAGTCACTCAGTCATGTCTGACTCTTTTTGACCCCATGGACTATATAGCCTGCCAGGCTCCTCTGTTCATGGGATTGTCCAGGTAAGAATATTGGAGTTGGTTGCCATTCCCTTCTCTAGGGCATCTTCCTGAACCAGGGATCAACCCAGGCTTCCTGCCTTGCCAGCAGAGTCTTTACTGTCTGAAAAAAACCAAAATGTTGGTATATGAATCAAAAGGATTTAATGTGGTCAGACTGGGCCTTCAAAATGACCAGAGAGCCCTCTTACACTGTGTGCCTGCTTCTCCTCTGGCAATGGGCACGTAGTCGGGTAGCTCTACTCCAGAATAAAACATCGGCTTAACCCAGTACGTGCTGGCCTCCTCACTGAGAGTAGGATGGGCGGCTGACCACAGTCAGGACAATCTGGCTGTAACCGTGCTTCTGGAGCTAACCAGGCGCGCTGTGCGGAGAGCAGAGGTCTCTTCTCGGGAATACCATTTTGGTTTCCTGGCAGCCTTGCTGTGGTTGATTTACACGCTCATGCTGTCAGCAAACACTGAAGCATAACCCACAGTCCCACACCCTTCCATCTGGATGCCCCCCTAGAGCACTCCTGGAAGGCAGGGGTGCTGCTGGGCCCCTGGGGGAGCTCCTATCAGACACGCTTGGAGCCTTTGTCCAGGTCAGATCAGAAATGAAAATGCAAAGAGTAAACCTACAAACAGTTTGTTTCGTCTGCTGTGCCACAAGTGAAGCCAGTTATCAAGCCTAGGGTTTTTCCTTTTTCTTTTTTTTAAATAAAAAGAAAACCTGCCTGCATTTATACTGAGGATTCTAATTCTTAAATACTAGAAGTATCAGCTGTTTCAGGGCACCTTGAAGGGAAAAAAAATAAGATCAAGTATTTTCTTTCAGTAATGCATACTCACATTATCTTTTTGCTCTAAGGGAGTGGGGCAGTAGCAGTGAAGGTCAGAAGTTAGAATTATTATTTGACAAAATAATTATTTTTGCAAGCTGCTGCACTGGTGTGACAGAGGTCTGGGATTTGGCACAAAGGAGCACCCGCCTCACGATCTGATACCCCCACCGAGCGGCCCGCCACCTGCAGCCCGGAGCCGGCCAGGGAGGGGCCGCCGGCCGAACCTGGCCTCTGGCCACCCTACCTCTCTTCAGGGCACTGGATCAGATGTGACAGATATCCAGCCAAAAAAAAAGAAAGGAAAGGAAAGGAAGAGACAAGGGGGAGAGGGGACAGAAAGGAAAAAACACCCCTAAAATTTGGGCTCTGTCTTTTCAAACACTCTAATCCTTTCGTGCTGATGGGTCCTGGAGCGGCCGGAGCTGGCACGGGACCCTGGAACGGGAAAATCTGACTCCCTCAGCCAAAACGTTAAAGGGAAGACTGCTAATCAGCTAAATAGAAACTGGAATCTGTTCACACGAGGTCCCCCACAACCCCCGCATCACCAGAGGGACACCATAGTGTTCTGAAACACACTCTTGACATCATCTGGCAGGCAACCCTGTTTTGCTAAACATGATTCATCCCTTAGATTATTGTTTTTAATATTAGAAAGTGAGCTTTTAAATGCCAAACAAATTTTATAGCAGGGGGACAAAAGATATTCCAAGTGGTCTCACTGGACCTTCCACCAACTGCATCCACCAAATGGTCTAAAAGACCCCCTTCCAGTGGAGTTTCAGAAACAAGGCAGAGAGGCGGCTCCATCCAACTATTACGAGACTTTGTTCTCTTAAGTTCACAGAGACAGTACTTGTGGGGTCAGGGCTGAACTCAGGTGGGCAGAGCTGTGAGTGAGAAGTGAGGAGGGTGAGCTCTGCAGGAAATCAAGCGAGCTCAGTGGGGCTGAGTGGCCCGATCTCCCGAGAAGCTGCCTGCGGCGGCCAGATACAACCATGTGGAAACATACCTCCGGTCCATGTTGCCGCTGACCATGAGGTTGGGAGGGCTGTCCCGGAGGTTGACACAGGTGAAGTCACCCAGCGCGTTGCCCAGCTTCGAGACACAGCGTTCTGCTTCCAGGCTGTACACCAGGATCTGGGGAGGAGGAACACATGGGGGTGTGCGTCAGGTGAGCAGGCCCGCAAAAACACCTTCCACTCAGCATCGCCCAGGGAACAGTCACACCACCTGCTCCCACAGAGAAGAGGCTCTGCCTCCTGACCCCTTCCAGGTCATGGCAGTGGAGGACGTCCCTGCCAGAACAAAAGGAAATGCAGAAGAAAAGAAACTCCAAAGAAACCCAGGCCAAGGTGCAAACAAACTCAGAGAACACACAAAACATGCCAAGTGGGCCAATCTCCTAACACAGAAAAAGCAGCATGGAAGCCAACTAGGGCCACTGCTTCTGACTACATGATAGGGGAGGCTAACAAGAAGCCCGCATGGGCTATCTGTTCTTCCCCCTCCGTATTTACACCACAGCGGGTAAAAGAACAAACAGTAGAAGCATTAAGGAAGGTGAAGCTTGCAGAGTTAACCACTAGATGACTCCTTTAAATGACAAACCAAAACACAAAGTCCTGTTTGAAACATTAAAAAAAAAATTTTTTTTTAATTGAGATACAACTGATACCCCCCAGCACTTCTCCAGTCACTCTCCACTTGCTAATTATAGGAAGCTCTGTTCCATAAGGTATGGAGGCAGGTAAGAAAGTATCCTTGGTCTCCAGACAATGTATTCAGTATATCTGAACACTGCCTCTTCTCCGGGGCTTCCCAACGTTGCTCAGTGGGTAAAGAATCTGCCTGTAATGCAGGAGACCTGGGTTCGATTCCTGGGTCAGGAAGACCCTCTGGAGGAGGGCATGGCAACCCACTCCAGCATTCTTCTCTGGAGCATCCCATGGGCAGAGGAGCCTTGTGGGCTATAGTCCATAGGGTCGCAAAGAGTCAGATACAACTAAAGTGACTAAGCATGCATGCATGCCTTCTCTCCAGCAAAAAGGGGGCAGCGAGGATGATTCATAAGGAATCTTTCTGAAGATTATTTAAGTCTCTTACTAAAAAGTAATTCATTTAACATTAAGTGCTCACTATGGGTCAGTAACTGTTATTTAAGTACTAAAGACACAGTCCTTGCCCCAGAATTCACAGTTCAAAAGCCTGCTCATTTACACACACATATATGAGCACACATTGTATTCTGTTGATCATGGGGTTAAAATTCATCACTGAACTCAAAAGTTTTAATGTAATATTTTATAGAGAGTCTCCTCTCACCACACACATGAAAATGATATGCTATTTTTTTGTTAACCTATACACTTACCAACTGTCAGTATACAGATTCATATTTCAGAATTGAGACGTTAATAAACTGACCCCACCTTGAAAACCATCGATCTCACTGTCAACATACATTTATAAGAACTGAATCTTTGGAAATTCCTAACAAACTATTGCTTATAGTATCTGAAAGGAGAGAGGGCAATTTCAAAATGTAAAATGCCTTCTTAATCCACAAAGACTATAGAGAACATGCTAAATTCTATCTTTATTTCATGCAGTTGAAAATAAAATTTCTGAGAAAATTTCAACTATAAAATATCCAAAATAAGATTATATGGACCTAGAAATAAATCAAATCTGCTATCTACAGTGAATATCCTAAAAACCACATAGAAATTAGTTCCTAGAGGGAGGGGGAAAAAAAACACCAGCAATATCCTGGTCTACTCTAAAGTAACATTCCACACTTACTTACGTATCACTGTGGAGTTTTCAATAGGACTTGGACTCAATCTCTTGTTTTTAAAATACTTCAACATCAACAGCAGGAAGCAATGTCCACAGTAAATAGAAGAATTAAAATCTGATACTCAGTCTATTCCTATGTCTTTCCTTTTTCTCGAAGTTCTTTTTTGGCGAGAGGACAGGTCGTTTCTGAATGAAACAGTAGGATCTAATCCCTCTCCAAAAATTCATCATAAAGACGTCTAAGTTAGTAGTCAGGAGTCAAGGATTTTCTAAAGTGTTTAATAATTCAATGAATCAGAACTACCAGAAGAGTATCTTGACCATTATGTTTAGTTAAAGACCGCAGAGATTAGAAAACACATTACCCATCTCAGAGGCAGTTCTTCCCACGTTACGAGTCCCTCAACGACCTTTACCATCTCCCTCTCCCTCCGTGCTCTCTCTCTTTTAATAAGGTTGAGCAAATGGGACTTCATTTTATCTGATTGCCACAGACTAGTGAGATTAATTATTCATGCTCACGCTCTGCCTCTTGTTAAAGCCATGCATTAGACTAATTTTTCTCTTTATTGCCCTAGTTGGGTGAGTCTCAACCCATGGCCACTTGACTCACTCTCAGAGGCGTATGGATATGCTGAAAAGAGGGAAAAAACGACCTGTAGTTAAAATCTTGGGAGAAAATGTTCTGCACTAATGTGACCACCAAATCAATAGATGTTGCTGGGGGTTTTTTCTTTGAAGTATCAAGAGTGTATCATAAAAGGGCTTAAACAGTAATTACAGAGCAAATTTTTGTAGGAGTTGGATATTTCTTTAAGAATTGTCCAGAAGGACTGAACCTGTTGCCTATTTTACAAAGAGAACCGCAGGAGAGGCAGTGTGAGGTCTCTGGACACTGTGGGCTCTACTCCTTCCTCTCTGGCTTCCAGGCAGATGGAGAGGGGGCAGCAAGTTCTGTTTAAAAAGCACTTTGCTTTTTCCATCTTAGAGATCTTAAAAGTATTGCTACAAACCCTAGTCTCAGAACCCTAACTTTCATTTGTCAATTACTTAGATTTCTCTGAAATTTCCAAAAAAAATTTTTCTCTGATTTCAAACATAATATATAACAAGTTCTAACACAACAAAATCATGTAACAAAAACTTGTAACCTTCTGCATATCCATCTCTCAAAAAGAGCCACTTAACAGTTCAGTGTATACAGCTGTCCCTCAGTATCCATGGGGGTTAAGACCCCCGGCATACCAAAATCTGCCCACACTTATACAATGTAAATGCTGGGTATATAGTTACTGGTGCTCAGCAAATTCAAGTTTTGCCATGTGGAACTTTCTAGAATATTTTAAAAAATATTTTCAACCTGGGATTGGTTGAATCTGTGGATTTGGAACCTGTCTAGCTGACTGGGTACTGCTAGACTTTTTCTATACCCATGTCTGTCTTGTCTGTTGCTCCCTCTGTGTGTGTGTGTGTGTATAAAATTGTTCTTTTCTTCAATGGGATTATTGTTCTGTGACTTGTTTTTCCTACTAAATAACATGAGAGATCTTTCTTTATCAGTACCTAGTAATAAGTTGATCTTTTTCTTTTTAAAGGTTGCATAGAATTTGTCATGGATATATAATCCCATATTGGTGGATATCTGGGTTGTTTCTGATTTTTTTAGACAAAGTAAATAACAGTTACCCTTAATTTGTAATTCCTTCTGCAGTCAGTCAACAAATGTCAATGACTCTTCTTCGTGCAGGAGGCACTGGAAGGAACAGGGAGGGTGGATGACGTGCAGGAGCCTCGGCGGGCTGTCAGCTGAAACAACCCACCTCTTCACCAGCTAGCGTGCAGCTACCAGCTGTCCCGCTCCTCCATTTGTGGGACTCACCTCTCCGAGGAGACCCGCCTTTCCACCATGTCCCAGCAGGTGGTGATGTCACAGCAGGGGCAGCAGTACAGTCAGGATAGAGGTGGCAGCCACAGGCCCAACATCAGGGAAACCTCAGGCAACACCCTGGTGCAGGCAAACCCTGCTCCTCCCAGGTGTGACCCAGACCAGCTACTCTATCTAGCACTGGCTTTCCAACCAGACCCTGAAAGGAAAGGGATGAGAAATGGCTCTGTCCCTGAAGTGGGGTGAACTCAACGCAGGCCAACTTCACCCAGTAAGACCTGGATTTAGCTGCAAACATTTCTGACATCTGGGACTGCTACTCCCCTCATTATGAAACAGGAACCATTTGTGTACAGAAATAGTTCTGAAGAGATTTTAGAGCCTTGCAGTCCCAGACTTGTGGCCATGTGCTAATGACTGAAGAAAGGAACTCCATTTGTGCTTTAAGCTTACCCAAAACAGTGAGTCTTCCTCACACTACTCTGTCATCTGTCAAAGGCATGACACCAGCACCAATGTTGCCCTAAGCAGCAGGCTCACCTCCTCTGGATGCCTCTCAGCTGTGCCCAGCTTTTTGCGACCCCATGGACCGTAGCCCACCAGGCTCCTCGGTCTGTGGGATTTCCCAGGCAAGAACACTAGAGTGGGCTGCCGTTTCCTCCCCTGGGGGAGCTTCTCAAGCCAGGGGTCGAACCTGCGTCTCCTGCGCTGGCTGGTGGACTCCTCACCACTTGAACCACCTGGGAAGCCCTACCACAGTCTCGTACACAAGAAATACTCAGCCAGGGCTTGTCTGCCTTTCCAAAGAGGTGAGGAGTGGTGGTCAGAAGGCTTCCTTACAAGACTACAGCTTTTTAAAAAGTGTTGTGAAATAAAGATAGTTTCTCTGCCACCATCTTAAAAAGGGGATGCGACAAAGAGGAAAGGTGAGGAGATGCTGTACTGGACTGCAGCAAAGTGAAAGACAAAAGTCACAGGGAGAAGACCTGATCGCCATTCGTGGAGATGACAGAGTCGACCTACTTTCTTTTCTGACTTTAACAACTCACCTCCGTCACTACCATATACACTCTTCTGAGGGGGTAAAGTCATGATTAAGAAGCCAAATTCTAGAGAGTAGAGCCTCATGCTCTCCTCTCTCCCGTCCCAATCAAGCTTATCTTGAGTTCTCTGTGAGCCCTTAGCAGAGTCTAGCCCTCGTCTCAGCGCTGACGCCATCTACCATCTATGCCGTCCACCCCATCCAGTGTCCCCAAGGTGCCATCTAGAACTCTGCATTTGCTTCCTCCAACTTTTCCCCAGACCTGTAGTTCTCAAACGCTGGAGGGCAAAAGGGTCACTGAGGAGACTGACTTTATAAACCAGCCGAGGCTCTGTTACGAAGCGCCAGGCCACATGCTGCAAACACTGTCCTGGACTGTAAGTTCCTTGGGGCATGCAGCAGTGACGAAAG